ATATTATGATGGTTTCATTCCAAAATTACCCCTAGGAGTTCAACTGCAATCAAGTTACGAGTTCCTGACAAAGATGATCAGCTCAACGTTAACTCGATGACATGAGAAAGTTCAACATTTCAAATACCAACAAATCAGCTACGATTCCTGATTTCAACATACGATCAGCGACATTGTAGTACCAGAAGTCAAGAAACTGAAGCAACTCATTAGTCCTTCTACACAGTCTAACGTTGGGCAAAAGCAGTGCCTACCTTGTCCAAAGTATTTCAGGCTCCTCGATAAAATACTGATGAGGCTAAAAACTTTGGAGGGGGTATCTGTAGGTGTCAAAAATTACCTATAGGTGCCAAACATAGCTCAAGACAGAGAGAAGATGAAGAACGTCATTATCTAAGTTAGAGAAGATCATCCAATGTAAAAGGAAGCAAAGGAGAATGCAAAACAACAACTCAAAAAGACTTGGGGTTGTCTCACTATTGGTGAGATAGTCTCCACTATCTCACATAGTCGAGACAGTGTAGGCTGTCTCGAATATGCGAGACAGTGTTGGCTATATCGACAACTATAAGACAGCCTCCCATGATTTCTGACGGTTTTGTGACGTTTTGTGGGGTCCACTTGGCTCCATAACTACTTAGGTACGCGCATTAACATGGAGGGGCAGTTATCTTCGAGAAATACGCCCATTACCTGTGAAAAATACAGTATTTAACGTACTTTAAGTAGTGGAACGACAGTTACAAAACCCTTGCCACTGTCTCCTTTGGACGAGACAGTGGACACTGTCTCGCTCACATGAGACAGTGGCCAATGTGCTGTTTGCATTCTTTTTGGTGGTTATGGTCTCCAATGGCTATAAATACCCTTCTACACACTTGTGCACAGGAGAGGACGAACAACTGAAGAGCAGATAGTAGAAAGAGGCCGGTATTTGGCGAACTTTAAGAGCAATAGAGAGTTCTTCATCCACTTTCAAGAATTCTAAGGAGTTCTTCGGTGTTTCCTAGAGTTCAAACTTATATTTGATCTTGAGAAGAGTACTTGTCTTACCTTGCTAAGACACTTACTTCAATTCTTATTTCCCCGTCGAAATATTAACTTCAAGCCTTCTTCGTATCTGACTTGAAACGTTGCTCGGTGGTCCATGGATAACACATCTCTGACACAAGCAAAGATCCCACGCAAGTAGAAGCTACTACGTAGGAGTTTCTATGTGTGTTTCTAGGGAATATAATTTCATTTCTTTGTAAAGAAGAGAAGTACACATATGTAAGGCTTATTCTTTTGTTTCTGTTGAACGATTTAATGGAAACTGCAAAGAAAATTTTTCGCGAAGCGAACATTAATCACTTGTAATTACATAATTTACAAATACAAAAAATTATAAAAGTTAAAATGATAAACATAACTTCTTTATTAATAATAAGTAAATCATCTATAATTATAAATTTATTTTGGAATTCGTCGCATCACAATAGATGAATACATCCCAACTAGGTTGGCACCTACTCACATATATCACTATTATTTGTAACTGTTTCCAAAATAATTTATCACAAATTTTTAGCTAAGAAATAAAAATTACAAATTGATGAATAATGTCTACTATTTATATCTATTTGCTAGTCCAAACTCTTTAAATTTATCTTCAATACTAGCCATCCGATTGATGCCTTGCGTTTTCTTCTCGTACCTCCACCAATCTTGTAGGACATTACTGCATGTATGGTATACGGATCTAACGATGTCCTGTGGTCATCAGTCAAACATCCTGTTATGCTGAAGGTGGATTCCGAAGCTACCGTGGAAACCTGCACTGCTAGTAAATCATGAGCCATGATGGAAAGTATATGATATGAAACTATTCCATATACTTTTTCACCATTGCAAAATATCTAAACTATTATTTTGACATTTAACTAAAGATGCAGTTAAATAATGATCAATTATAGAAACCTCCGCTGATGATCCAAGTCCAGATCCACCAGTTAGCTCAGTTACCATTGATTCCCTATCAAAACTCACACTTTTGCCCCGACTTGAGCTCGTAGAAGCAGAAACTGTAGATTAATGTGTAGTTACACCATATCTAGCTGTATACTCATCATATAATCTGTGAAAATAATTTCTAATAGTATTATTATAAGTAAGAGCAGTAATAGTTTGACCATCATCAATGTCTATTATCATGTTACCATACAAAAAATTTAACAAACTTCGAAGGCCAATATCCTTCAAACATGGATCAATAAGAACCCTAAACTAAAAATAATAGGAATAGACCTAAAATACTTATTAAATTTACTTTCCATTTGAAAAATTATATTTCCAAAATAATTATCCATGTGATATTTATTAAAATTTTGAATATTTAAAACTTGTAAAGCAGCTAAAGTAATGGTTGGATAATAACAGCCAGATAATAACATAGTAGCATCATAAAAAACCTGTAACATCTCTTTTACATTACATATAATTGTTCATTCATGCTTAGTTATTCTACATATACTACCAGAGCTAGATCTAGAAGTATAGAAAGAAATAAAATTATTTATAATTTCTTTATATTCTATTGCTACATTTAACATTACATAAGTAGAATTTTACCTATGGTCAACATCTTTTGGAATTAGTCTAGGTTTTAAATTTTTTTCTTTTATAGAATTGTTTTCATCTTTTAATTCTTTGCTCATAAGTATTATGAGCATAAGCTACTATCCTAACCTTTTCAATCATGGATTTAATTTCACTAAATGTATTTTGAACAATTAAATTTAAAATATGACACACACATCTAATATGCAAAATATCACCATGACATGACAATAGCAGAGATGTTTTGATATAATCAATAACTACATTATTATTACTTGCATTATCTAATGAAAGAGAAAATATTATTTCTAAAATTTTTAATTTTATAAGTTCTTCAATTATTAAATTTGTAATATTAATACCAGTAGGTGACTCTTCAAATGCAATAAAAGAAATAACTCTGTTAAACATTTGCCAATTATCATTAATCCAGTATACTGTGACATAAATAACTAGTTTGTGCTCTAGATGTTCAAATATCAGAAGTTAAAGAAAATTTACAGTTTAAACTTTAAAAATAAGAAATTATTTTTTGCTTGTTCCTCCTAATAATGTTTTAAAATATCACATTGACAAGTTTGACGAGAATTTTTTTAAATGTGGGATAAAAATCTTCTGTAAACATATCTTCAAATTCATCATCTTCTACTAATTTAAAAGGAAGGTTTTTAAGAATAACAAACCTGATTACGCATTTCCTGGTTCGAACTGCGGCATAGTTCCAACTACCGAGACTACCAGAAGATGAGGATTGGGAGAATAAAGATTGTCGGATATCACCATGAGGCGTCTGACCTCTGTTTTGTTTCTCTAAATGGCGTTTGAAGTAGTTGGTGGCGCTCTTATGATGAACTTGGAAAATATGGCCGCACAACGCACACTTAGCCTTTTGGGTGAGAAGCCTACCGTGTTCATTCCTGATGACTTCTTTCTTTTTAAAAAAGTTCCATACATCGGATCTCAAGCTTTTAGGAGCTCTTGGAGCAGAATCGTTGCCACCGGAGTCGTGGTCAACATTGGTAGGAGTAGGAGGAGTAGCTGTAGCTCCTGTAGTAGGAGTATTATGACTCATTTTAAGATCAGGAGTTGGGTTTTGCCCTTTATAATCAGAGTAGGAAGCCATTTGATTGAAGAATTAGTTCACAAAAGCGGGTATTAGAGAGTATTAAAGAGAAGTAGATGAATTTTGGATGAGAAAAACAAATAAAACCCCCTCTATTTATAGAGGCAACCTCCTAAGTAAATGACCAAAATACCCTCAAATTTTGATCGTTTTTGGGGTATTTCGGTAAAAACACAAAAATAGTCGTTTTTGGCCCTTAAGGACCGGGCCACAACGGTCACAAAATGACCCTTGTGGTCGGGCCGAGCCGAGCCAGCCCGGTCCGACAAGCCCAAACGGTGCCCGCCTGCCTCGGCTCGTCAACTCTGGCCCGACCATTCTCCTAGCCGGGCCGGGCCCGGTGCAGATGCCGACAAAATGATCCGGATCGGGTCCAGAACCTGGTTAGCCCGAGTTTCCGGGCTAAGCACCGGGCCGGGTCTAGGCCCTGGCACCGGGCGGGCTTGGCCCAACTGGACGGTCCTAACACTAATAGCGCATGAATATGAGAAATAACAGTAATTTATCCGGTGTTCGCGATCCTTGGCCTTATCCTCGGCTCCCGGTCCCTCACACACTACGATGCACCCACGAATATCACCCGCACTGCTATGCGGCCCACAAGATACTTACCAAAACTACCATCTGCCAATCTCCTTCCCAGTCCTCAGAGGTACCAGCGGCACAAACCGTCATTTCACCACAAATCCGTCCCCGCCCCAGCTAAATCTAACATGCCATATGTACGTACATCCGCGGCCTCAAAAAAAAGAAAAGCTATCAAACAAAAAAAAAACCTTGACCAAGATCCGACGGCCAGCGATGCGTCGACCGACGATCATCAGACCGCGTATTCTCAACGCGCGTACGTCGGCGACCCTACCGCGTACCCGCCTCCCTCACATGCTCTCACGTGCTCCGATCCCCTGCCGGCCGCCCCCCTCGCCGCTCTCTATTATTTACCCCCCATCCCCCGCCATCAAAACCAAGAACTCAATCAAAACCAAAATTAGGGTTAGGGTTCGAAACTCTGAGCAATTCGATGGAGTCGAGATCACTCCGCCGTCACGGCCACCGAACCCGCCGCGCTTCCCTACCGTGAAGATTGCTGGAAGCGAGGGAGAGACCTCCGTCTCATCGACGCCTGGGGCGATCGCTACGTCGAGCTCAACCGCGGAATCTCCGTCAAAAACAATGGCAGGAGGTCGCCGACCCGTCAACTCGCGGCCCTGCGACGCTCGCCGGCCGCCGAGGACCGATGTCCAGTGCAAGAACCGGATCGATACCTTGAAGAAGAAGTACAAGTCGAGAAGTCCGAAGATCGCCGATGGCGCTTTGGCAGCACAGTGGATCTTCTATAATCGTCTCGATTCGCTTATTGACCCTCGGTCGCCTCCAAGAAGGCGCCGCCGCCGCCGATGGCGGTGCCGCCGCTGGCAGCTCATCGCAAGGGGGCTCCGCTGCCGACGGCGATCGCTGTTTGTCCGAACGAGATGAAGGAGAAGAGACAGACTGCCATTGTTCCGCTGACCGAAGATCGGAGGCATTACACTACGCCTCCTGCTGCGGTTTCAGATGAGGGCGAGTCGGACTCGTCATCGTCGAGATCTTTAGGATTTTATAGGAAGAGATCGAGGCCGGTCATGAGTAAGAAGGGATCGGGGAAGGGTGTGAGGAGGGAGGAGGATGGGATTAGGGAGCTGTCGGAGGCGATTATGAGGATGGCAGAGATTTACGAGAAGGTGGAAGTGGATAAGCAGCGGCAGATGATGGAGCTCGAGAAGCAGAGGATGGAGTTCGCCAGGTCGATGGAGTTTCAGAGGATGCAGTTGTTTGTAGATTCACAGGTTCAGTTGATGAAGATGAAGACGAAGAGGACAAAGCGGAGCGATGCTGGTGAGTGCTTAAATCTTTCTTAGCATTGTACGATATTTGTGGCTCTTTTGCATTGGTGAATGTATTTGTTATATCTATATGTTGCTTGATGCTTTAGATGTTTGTATTTTTCTGAGTGTTTGCAATCTTATAGTGGGCTTTTCCCTGAAAAATAAGATAGTTAATACCCTTGATTGAGATAATGGCGTTTATAAAGGAAATCATCTAGTTATGTACAGTGTGGTCTTATCAGCTGAAAGATCACAACTCAATTTTTGAATATTTGCGAGTCTGCTAAACACGCATGAAGGACCCCTTCGTTTTAAAACTAAAAATCACTTCTGTTTGTCTTGAATTCGTTGTTGGATTGGATCTTGGTTTCATTGTCATGGGTAATCTTGGATCCTCAATATTTGCAAGGGCTTGGATGCTTTCCACGAAGCACCCCGTTAGGATCCTGACAAGTGCCATGTTGATCTATCTAGGCAAAGTTAAGAATTAGGCTCTCTAATTTAATCTGATGAATCTTGAAAGGAAAAGTATCATCGTTCTTTTTTAGATTCTAGAAAACTGATAAATTTTGAGTACAATAAATTGGTTTAGGATTTGATTTTGTTTCTAGAGAAATTGTTTGTTTTTGCTGGATTTAGAAACTCTTAAGTCTGTGTTCACTGAATGGGTTGTATTCTTTACATACCTTTTAAAGATTTTGTATAACTGGCTGAGCTTATGCTTGAATTGTTTGTTTACACTTATTTCAAGTACCATTGCCTATTTCAGATTTTCTGCTTTCTGAGGTATTTTTGACCTAAGAACTCCTACACTAGTGTCCCTGGACATTTTTTTAGTTACTTTTTAACCCTCTTCTAGGATATGGCTGCTTCCCCTTCCCAGTTTGGGGATTTATACGGGTAACAATAAAGCCAAATCATCTGAATTGTATCCATTCATATATTCATCTCCTAACAAATATGGAAATTTTATTTGGATATTGGCCTCTTTGTTAAGAGTTGCTACTGATAAGTTGCCATCCCAAGCATATAACCTTATAAAGTATAAACTAATACTATTTGGTTTTTTAGTTTATTGCCCTTCCACAATCTTTTGCAAGTTGTCTCTCTTAACTATATACAAAACCTTTACTTATAATTTGAGTTCTATGCATACGTGTGTTGCTTTTATGAGAGGCTTCTCTCTGAAGTTTGGGTTCACTGTAAGTCCATCTAGCAAGTCATGGCTTACAAGAGTTATGATGGCGGTGATTTAGTTATTTGAACAATGAACTGTAACATCAGTTCGTTGTTTGTTCATGTATGATTTAAAGGTGCATCTGAGCCTATTTTTATGTGCTTTTCTAGAGTTTATAGTTAGTTGCATTGTATATGTGGAGACAGTTGTGTTTTTTATCCCCACTCTCCCTATCTTCTTCATTCTTCATTTCTCAAAGCCTGTAAACTTGAAAGGGGTAAAATTTATGTGCTTTTCTAGACTTTGCGTTGTACATGTGGAGATAGTTGTGTTTTATTTTCTTTTGGGTTTTTTCGATATCAGTCCCTCAAATCTTAAGGTATTTTGAAATAGTCCCTCAAATCATGGAAATTGCTATCATGTCCCTCAAATCTTATGGTATTTTGAAATTAGTCCCTCAAATCATTGTAGTTGCTATTAAGTCCCTCAAATCTTAAGCTATTTTCAAATTGGTCCCTTGAACCAAGAGTGAAAATAGCAAATGAAGACAAATTAGTTGCTTAAAATCATCAAAATTGCTATTAGATTCCCAAATTCTCATTACTTGTTTTAAATTAATCCTCTGATTCCAACTGCTACTCTTGATTGAAGCGTCTAATTTGAAGTAACTTAAGATTTGGGGATCTAATAGCAATTTCAATGATTTGAGGACTAGTTTCAAAATAACTTGAGATTTGAGGCCTAAGGGACCTAATAGCAATTTCCATGTCTTGAGGGACTAATTTAAAAATACCTTAAGGCTTGAGGAACTGATACTGAAAAAACCCTTTCCTTTTTTATCTCTTCTCATATTCTCTCAAAGCCAGAAAAATTGAAAGGGTTGAAAAGAAGAACTTATCCTACGCACTTGTTGTTACCTGAACCAGTCTGCGTCCTCTTTGCTTTCTTCTTTCTTGAATATAGGAAGGCAACAAAGCATCATTTCTGTAGGGCCCTGGCTTGTCGATCCTAATCCTGTCTATACTACTTTTGGTCATTCAGTGATATGTCTCTAGCAATTTCTGGTCAATCTGAATAATCTCTATTGATCATTTAATTATATGAATATTTACATTCACTTCTCTTCAATCTCCTAGATCCATATATGTAGCAAAAGAAAACAAGCACATAGTACTTGTACCTGATGTATGTATCCTCTGAGAAAATTCCTGCTTCCTGTCATAAGATCTGGCACATAGGTAAGGAATCTAACTCCAGCTACATGTCTGGTGGAGGAAAATGATTTAGGGTGAGATAAATTCTGGAGTACCTCCACTTACCTGATCCTGTCCGAATTTCAGACTCAACTGAAGCTTTCCCCTGGTGCAACTTGACTAGATGTTGGGTTTGCAAGGACTTTTAGCAAATCGTCTATTTTGGGTTTATATTAGACGATGCTCAAGAATTTTAAGTTTTGAACTGACCACTGAACTAACCCGATCTCTTAGTGCTCTTGTGGTTGAACTTGCGACATTAACAAAATGATTTACTGCTTAGCAGTTTAAAGTTCTACTCTGATGATGTTATATTCTTTTATGTTTATGGTTACCGATCTTACTGATCTTACTCCTTATCTTTTCTGCAATAGCATATTTCTTTTTCTTGTAATCACAAGCAAATTCATGGATTCTATAGGGCCTTCTCTGAAGCAAGGCCCCCCAATTTTATGTCTTACATACTTATTATTATTATTATAAACTTTAAACCGATGTTGTCAATTCTTTCTCTAATTCTCATTTGCCTTTCCAGAGGGTTATTTGTAACTGTAATGCCGATCTTTCAAGAGAAGCTTCAAAGTGGATGACGTACTTCTTTGGATTCTGCTCAGTTTCACACGATTTTTATTCCATTCCATACTGGGCAATTTCGGAAGATGATGCCAAAACATCAGCATTTGTGATCTTAGCAAGACTCGCTGGCTGAGGTTTTAAAGATTATTAGATGGGAAGTAGCAGGCTCAATAAGATACATACCAGTAGGATATCTAACTTGCGAGTTTTCTATTTAGTTACAAGTGATGATGAACAAGTGCAAAGTTTTTGCCTGGACGGTTGTTCATATATTGTTCTTGATGTCGCACTTTGCTTCACGTTAGGTTATTTACATTGTCCCTTCATATTTGTAAAATTTATGAAGAAGCTCTCGTTTCAGTTATCTCATTTTTCTCAGTTGCTGAAAGCCTTTAAGCAAGTACCCAATCGTCTTCGTTGAGCATCTATGATTACGAGCAGTCAGAATCTAGAATCTTCGCGTTACTTACAACTCATTTTTGATGTGTGAAGACTCGTACATCATACGGGATCAAGTATGAAATAAGGTAGCGGGCGTCCTTCTTGTATTTCTTTATTTCCCAGCTCTGTTTGGACCATTTTGGCGACAACAAGATAGCGCTGCATTGCTTTATAATTCTGGTATTTTTTGTGCAAATTGCAAGAAAGCAAAAGGAAAAAAAAAAACTGCAACAATCGTGTACTGCGGTAACATGATAAATTTTCTTTATTGTTACGGAATTGTTCCAAAGGATCTGACTTTCAAAAAGCGTGTTGTGTTATGTTAGTGGTTGATACTTTCCTTGAAACAAGTTTTTACAAGGGGTGGGATTGTGTTATGTTATTGGTTGATACTTTCCTTGAAACAAGTGTTACAAGTGGTGGAATTGTGTTATGTTATTGGTTGATACTTTCCTTGAAACAAGTGATATAAGGGGTGGGGCCTAGGCCGGTTCGAACTAGGGGCCAAACTGGTCCAACCTGCCTTGGGTTAAGACCCGATCTGGCATACGACGGACCGGACCTAAATCCAGCATGTGAAATACCCGAGCTATGGGTTGGATCTAAATCTGGCTTGTGAAATACCTGGGCTATGGGTTACACTGGGTTCTGCCCTAAATCCGTGGACAAAAAGGCAGGCCTCAAAAAACATGGCATACAGTAGACCGGACCTAAATCCAGCATGTGAAATACCCGAGCTATGGGTTGGACCTAAATCTGGCTTGTGAAATACCTGGGCTATGGGTTACACTGGGTTCTGCCCTAAATCCGTGGACAAAAAGGTTGGCCTCAAAAAGCATGGACAAAGAAGTAGGCCTAGTCAACGCTTGATCTAGCCCATGCCTGACCTGGCCCAACCTGATCCGCCTCAACTAATAGCTATATTTTAATGCAATTTTAGTAGCAACACAATTTAAAATTGTAATATCTAGGTCTTTGATTTGTAATTTTAGAAGTACCAGAGATTTTCTAAACTCTATTCAGTATTTTAATGAATATTTGTCGTCATTATGATTTATTGAAAATAATTAAACTATTGTGAATTATTTTGCTCCTTGAGATAATTTCATCACCAATTGTAAATTTATAGGGTTTAGACTTTTCAGAAAAATAAAATACATGTTTTTCTTTTTAAATTACACATACGAATCTAGCAAAAAATTTTAAAAAGTTAAGAAAAAAGAATACGGGCCGATCCACAACGTGAACCGCCATGGGCCAGGTAGACCTGGCCCAACCCCACGCCCCACGGGCCCACACGAATTAAAGACCTAGAAACCAAGTCCTCAACCCGGCCCACTGAGGTTCAATCGGGCCTAAGTCTTAACCGGCCTGTACCCAGGACTAGGCGAGTAGTTCATGGGTTAAGCTTAGATCGGCCCACGGCCATCCCTACCTACAAGTAGCTAAGAGTGGGGGGATTGGACATGCAGTGCAGGCATGCAGCACATAGCACGAAATCTGAATTTGCTGGGGGTATATATGACCAATAGCTAATATTTGCATATCTATGCAAATAGTTTAAAATGTCACATGAAACTATTTGAAAGCTCATTAAAGTTCACAAATACAAATAGTACAACTGCTGACTGGAAATTTAAGAACCAGGTATGTGTTAATTACATATTATTTCAAATACCTCCTTATATTTCAATTACAATGCGACTGGATACTTCTGGATCACTGTACACACCAGTGCGGTGGCACGCATCAGGGATCAGATCAAAGAACCCAACTTCCCAGTCGAAGTCCGCAACTCTTCTCTAATTCTTTCGACGTGGAACTGTGCTCATATAAATTCTCAACATGAATCGTTCATGTACAAAAAAGAGAATGTTACAAAATGAGAATCATGTTTTTGTAGAATCCTAGGAGTAAGAGAATGTTACATTTGATGAATTATATTGCTAACCAGTGTGGATTTGCATTGGTGAAATGAGATTTATTAAACAAACTTGTAAAAACAAATGTATATATCGGTACTCTTTCTATAAAAAGATTAATGACTGGGACCAAATCAACAAAGTGTGTACTCGCAATCAAGCAACCGGGTAAGGATTTCTTTACAACTAGGCCGCCCATCAGGTTCCGCCCAGCAATCTAAAATGAACACAAATGAGGAGTACCGAAGATATTAGCAGCAGCAACATTATAAATGTGTGTGAAATATAAGATGGCAAACACATGTTGCAAAATGAGTAAGCAAGCGATGGGTTAATGGTTAGGCAAACACATGTTGCTAAATAAGTAAGCAAGAGATGGGATAATGGTTAGACCCATCCGCTAGCCATCGGATGGAAGAATCTCACATTCCTTCTCTTTGTAGTTCATCTAATAAATGAGTCAGCAACTCATAACCAATAAACTACGCAGACGCTACTAAATGAGCTACCAAGAGAGATTAGTGGCAAGGCACAGTTTGCTAGTCATCGGACGATCTGGACCTCACAACTATTTCATGCTAGCTCATTTTCCTAAAGGGTTAATTGCGTATAAACCCCCTGTAGTATAATTGTTCTTAAGCTTAGTACCCCTCTAGGTTTAGTGTTGCACATTGACGCCCTAAGGATAAATGAGTCCCAAAAAAAAGTTTCACTCAGGGCACCTATTTGCAACAATAAACCTAGAGTAGTAAGTTCAAAACAGTGATACTACAGAGGGTCTATCCACAATTAATCCTTTTCTAATAATGTGACAGCTTTATATCCAGTATCCTGTATACACATGCCACATATCAGCATTCAAAGAGGCACCTATCACTCCGTTTCAGTACCTGAAATTAGCTTGCCGAGAGGACCTTCAGGAATTTCCAATCGTGTCCCTTCATTTGCAACTGCATGTACCACCTGCCAGAGAGAAGACCGGTCATATTGGAATCATTATAACAAAACTTTATGATTCAAAACAAGGGATGACAGAGGAACACCATTAATCTAGGCTGCTTACTTGAACTGGTGGTATGCCTTCCCATGGCCGGTTCATAGTACAAAGTTCCCACATAATCACACCAAGACTGAAAATATCGCATTTTTCAGTGAATGGCTCGTTACGCATGAGCTCAGGAGCCATCCACTCAGGAGTCCCTGCAGATGAGTTGTCTGTCATTGGGGTTTCCACCATTATTCTCGACAGCCCAAAATCACAAATCTTCACTACCCAATGTTTGTCCACGAGGCAGTTTGCACTCTTCAGATCACGGTGCGCTATTTTCATCCGATGCATGCACATCAGCCCCCTAATTGCCAAGCAATTAGTTTCCAGATCGTAAGTAAAAGAATAGATACAAAGAACTAAAGCATCACATTGTAACTAATGAACTTCTTGGCTATCATCTCTAAATAGGTTTGTATGACTCATTAATAAAAGGGTTTTTCATACAAGACCACCATAAAATATAGCGCTTTTTCCAAAAATCACCACGGAATTTTTAGTTTTCATAAAACCACAATGATAACATGCACCATTAATAAAGTGCCAACAAGTCATAATTTTGATGTGTTCCATTAAATATTAGGGCCTTTTATATGAAACCACAATACAAATAAAATATGATGGTTTTTTGAGAACCGCCACGAAATTTTTAGTTATTGTGAAGCCACCATGATACTATGCATTGTTAACAAAATGCCTCCAATGTATGGTCAACTCCCTCAAAAATTTTTAATTCCCTCCAAACACCCTCAAAAAAATTTAATTCCCTCCAAACACCCACCCACTCACTCCCTGCAAAGTTTATTTTCTCTGAACATGGTATGCTTTTATGTTGTTTCATAACTTCATTCAAAAGCACATGGATGGAAATCTATGACTCAGTGCACTTGCTAACAGTCACATGTCATTATGGTGGTTTTATGAACACTGACATTTTAGTGGTAGTTCTCTGAGAAACCACATATTTATGGTGGTTTCCATATAAAAAACCCTATTTTTATTTAAGTTGACATGGATAGAAAGAATGACTTGGTGGCATTTTTTTTAACAGTTCACTACTGCTCCGCTGCACAGTGTGCACAAGTTGCATCACTGCGTGCATGACACTGCACACATTTGTGGGTAAAGAAAATAATGTTAACATCTACAAATTGATGCTAATATAAATATTTTTTTAAAAAGTTATGCGAAGATATAGTGGGTGTCAAATTGATCAATGTCTTCAATAGTTTAATAGATATTGCGCACACAATGAATGCATGACATAGTACACAAATGTTGGAAATACAAATAGCTGTATAAATACTTACTATAGAAGTGATGTAAGTGTCAATCAAATAACAACTAATATCTACAATTTGTCACTCTTCTAACTGATAAGAAACAAATAACATCATCAAACTCAGATATAAATTTTAAAAGTGACACTCTCTTCAAAATATCACCAAACATGGAAGCATTATGCATAAAATGAGTGTGATAACTAAAAATAGTACCAAATAAAAGGGAATATGATGACATAATAAAACATATAAAAATTCTTGCAACAATTCATGGTCGGGATAGAGAAGAGGCACTCGGTGTCGGCAAGGTTGAGGAGGTTATTGGAACTGAAGTTAGGGTATCGTGCAAGGAACTCATCAAGGCATGTGTATCTGAATTTCTGATTCATACTTGAAGATGAAAATAATGGATCAGTTGAGAAGCCTCACATAACCTTGCTACATCAAGTGTTAACATGGATTCAGAAGGATAGAGGGATTGGATAAGGGGGAAATGATATGAGAAACAAAAACGCTATGCAAACTAATATTTATTTTTTATTTTTTACTTTCTTGAAAGAAAAACTAATATTTAGTTCTATTGGAACGTGGGAGTTATGAAAACTGGTATTTATAGTTTTTAACTTTTCTTAATAATAGTAATAGATAATCGATTTTTTATATAGTGGCTGTAATGGAAATCTTAGGTAATTATTATCTTTGCTTTCTAGAGAGAGAGAGAGAGAGAAAAACCTGAGTGGTATCTTTACTTAAGTACTCAAAGTTTTTAGTCTTTTCAGATTGCGTGGGCTGTGTAAGTTGAGTTAGTTTGATTTTCCAATTATAACCCTCATATTATTTTTGAAAGCATAATAATTTTAAGGACATTGCTGTAATTATTAGAAATCGTGAATCACAAAGGGTAGAACCAAAAATATTGATGAAAAGGGTGGCTTTTCTTTATTAATAGCAATAGATACTACCATGGTGGTTTTACAAGACTTGACAAGTTCATGGTGGTTCCCTGAAAAACCACCATACTTTATGTTCAGGAAACCCTTAATACAATATCTCACTTAGTTTTCTGTGAACTTAGGGAATCATGTTTTACCATAACTGGTTAAGTTTCCAAAATCCACGTAAACAAAGCAAATATCAGCACTTACTAGGTGACTAATTTGCTGTTCTCTATGAACCATGGAAACATAAGTTAAAAACTTATCATCAAGGAGAATGCAATTCATTCTCACCTGCAGATATCACGAAGCATTTTCAATCTTTTATGCCAACTGAGCTTCTTTTTCTGACCTGTTGTATGTATGAGGTAATACAAGGATCCCATCTCCATATACTCCGTAACCATTGACAAGTGTGGAGGTTTCATGCAGGCACCGAGGAATAATATAACTGTTTCTCCAAGAATAAAAGTTGGATGAGGATTCTACATAACAAACTGGAGTTATTGGCTCTCAGCATAAAGCTTTACAAACTAAGATATAATAATAACGCAATATTTGAGTTCAGAAACAAGAAAAATATCACAATAATTATAGCATGAAACAAAATGAAATTGATAAAGAGTCAAAGGGTAGGTCAATACCATTAGGATGTCGAAGGCGACTGGAAAAAGGAAGAACCATAGTCATTAGTCAGCAAATAAACTGAAAATGACACAATTTTAATTCAAATAACACAAAAATAGTACCTCAGGATAGATACTTCATTACAAAAATCCTCCATATTTTCAACGGTCAAGTCTTGCTCCAGAAAAACTTTAATAGCAACATCAGTGCCATGCCATATGCCTCGAAAGACTTCTCCAAAGAACCCTAAAGATGAACAAGAAATATCGCGTTAAAATTTGGAAGCTCCGGTCAACCCCATGCTGAAGATATCTCTTTAGGCAAAGCAAAGCCAGGTTTCAAATAGATAGTCAAGTGTCACAAACAATAAAGGTAACCCCACAAATAAGCTAAAAGTTTACAGTTCAATGCAATAGGCTCTGACATATATCAGAGGGAGTTGGTGCAACAGTAAGTGACGAATTTGGTAGAGATGTCATGTAACTGTATGGATATTTATCTGTTAATTTACTGATTCCTCTTTAACGTTGTAGCTGAGTTTTTTTTGTGAGAAAAAATGTTCCTAACAATGTAATATGAGTTATAAGAGAAAGAAGCAAAAAAGCCCATCTCGTAAAATCCTAACGCTCTCCTCTGCTTAACCATACACATGTACCCACTATTTTAAAAAGCCTTCACCTAGTCCGCCTAGGCATACGCCTAGGCCTGGGCGGTACCTAGGCTGCCTAACTAGTGTCTAGTGCATGGGCGGTACCTAGGCTGTGTTAGGTCTCGTGTTTTGATAATGATTTATAAACCCAATTATTGGTACTAATTGCTTGTCAAGTGATCCCACGCAGGATATGTTTATCAAGCAATATAGTGTCATGTAAAGGAGAATGGATAAACTTGCACATTAACGATGATAGTCATGGAGGTGGAGACAAGTTGATGAAGAAGCCTTAAATGCTCAAAGATCGACTCAAGCAAATATCTACTTAAGAAGAGCGTTCAAGTATATATTCAAGAAGAGCTTCATCAACGACAAAACTTAGCAAATATCGATATTCCAGCATTGTATATATTTGTAAGCGATATTTGCATTTTTATTTCTCTAGATCATATTGTAAGCAAGAAATAAAGTTGATAACTCTTGAAGCATTAGGGGATTATACACACATACTTCAAAATTCGTTCTTATCAAAATCTTTAAAAAAATATTTTTAAACAAAATTTTGTTCGAAGAAAATGCTTTCTATCCTTAGTACTTTGTAACTTTAAGTATTTTCCAAAGCCTCAAAACTTTGTTTCAGCTATTTTAAATAAAAATTAAATTTTCAGTCTATTGGTCGACTGACCGTAATCATTGGTCGACCGACTGTATTTCATTTTACAGTATCTATAAATTGTTTCTGTGCGGTCGACCGACCAAAACTATCAGTCGACCGATCCTTTAGCAGTCGACCGAAATTATCAACCAGTTGACCGATAGTAATTATCAATCACATTGTATATTTTTAGTCGTTCTGGTCAGTCGACTAGTTCGTTGATTAGTCGACCGGTTTGCAAATTTTTAGGTAACGACTAGTTTTATCTGAATATGGTTTTAAAGGATTTGTTTTGATTTCAGAAAATGTTTTTGGACAGATTTGATCTGATTTGGAGCCCATACCTTCTGATGTGGTTGAGAGGCTATAAATAGTCCTCAAAGACCCATTTGATTTTAAGAAGAAGAAGAACAAGGCAACTTGTGATTCAAAATTTCAAAGCAAAATTTCTCAAGCATTTTTTCTTCTAAGTCTTTCACTTTCACATACTCACAATTCCAATGCTTCAATAGCCAATCTCTTCATCCTTGTCATAGGATTCTTGTAAGAGAGATTATTATCTTTATCTTGTATTGTGTGGCTTTGTGTGGAGAGTTGGATCTCGAGGAGATCATTGTGTAAGAAGTTCCAGCTTTCAAACCGGGTTATGGAGTGGATTATCATCGGTAGAGGTGGTCGGGGACATAGGTCGAGAGTGGCCGAACCTCGTGAACATATCGCTGTCTTTATTGGCTAACTATCTCTCACCCTCTTTTATTTTTGCTTATTGTCATATTTTGTATCTTTGATTGAATTGTATTTTTATTAGTTGCACATTTTATTTGATTACCCTATTCACCCCCCTCTAGGGTACTTTCAATTGGTATCAGTTGGACATGGATGAAAGTTGTGAGAAACTAGACCAAAAGCTGTATCGATGTATGATAAGTAGTTTACTTTATCTCACTGCTAGTATACCCGACATGATGTTTAGTATTTGTGCATGTGCATGGTTTCAAGCTTCTCCTAAAAAATATCATTTAGTTGTTGTTAAATGTATTATTAAGTATATAAATGGTATAATTGAACTTGATTTGTTTTATCCGAAGCATACTACTTTTGATCTTTTTGGTTATTGTGATGCCGATTTTTTGCCGAATGCAAGGTAGATCGTAAGAGTACTAGTGACACGTGTCAATTCTTAGGCAACTCATTAGTTTCTTGGTCATCTAAGAAGCAAAATGTATCGTCTTATCTACTACGGAAGCGAAATATATTATCACCGGTTTATGTTGTGCTCAATTATTATGGATGAAACAAAATTTGGTTGATTTTGACTTACATTTTCATGATACAAGTTTTTTTGTGATAATACTAGTACTATAAATATTTTAAAAAACTTCATACTTCATTCTAGAACCAAACATATAGATGTTCGACATTACTTTTTGCGTGATCATGTAGAAAAGAAAGATGTCACTTATTTATATTGATACAAAATCTCAATTAGCGGACATCTTTACCAAGCCTCTTTGCGAAGAAACTTTTTATCGTATAAGAAATCAATTAGACATATTCATCCCTTGATTCATGTTTGCTTGCTCTTTTTATCTTCTTTAAAAATGATGTTCTATAATTTTTATGAGTTTTATTTTAAATTGTTCAGGAATTTTCTTTTATGGATCCCAGTCAGACAGTTTTGTTAAAAATTGTCCGGCCAATCAACTGATTTCATCATTAGACGACCGATTACTCTGTTCAGTCAACCGGTATCTGATATTCCCAGTCGATTGATTTTCTGACATTTCCAATCGACCGATATATCTATCAGTCGACTGATTTACCATTTTTTTGTTTTTTATTTTTTTTTCTTTCTTCCTCTCTTTATCCTTATGTACCCCATTTTGATGTTGCCAAAGGGGGAAAAATCTTCCAAGGTTTGTACACATAGATAGGGGAAGAGTCTTATAAATAGGGGGAGCAAATCTATCTATAGATAACATTTATTATCTTTAATTTTTGCACTTTTATAATGGTGATTTGTTATCATAAAAAAGGGGAAGATTGTTAGGTCTCGTAGTTTAATGATGATTAATAAACCCCATTATTGGTACTAATTGCTTGTCAAGTGATTCCACGCAGGATATATTTATCAAGCAATATAGTATCATGTAAAGGAGAATAGATAGACTTGCACGTTAACGATGATATTTTATAGAGGTGGAGGCAAGTTGATGAAGAAGCCTTAAATGCTCAAAGATCGACTCAGGCAAATATCTACTTAAGAAGAGCATTCAAGTATATATTCAAGAAGAGCTTCATCAACAACAAAACTTAGTAAATATCAATATTGCAACATTGTATACATTTGTAAGCGATATTTACATTTTTATTTCTCTAGATCATATTGTAGGCAAGAAATAAAGTTGATAACTCTTAAAGCATTAGGGGATTATACACACATACTTAAAAATTCGTTCTTATCAAAATCTTTAAAAATTATTTTTAAACAAAAGTTTGTTCGAAGAAAATGCTTTCTATCCTTAGTACTTTATAACTTCCAAGTATTTTTCAAAGCCTCAAAACTTTGTTTCAACTATTTTAAATAAAAATTAAATTTTCAGTCTATCAGTCGACCGATCATAATCATTGGTCGACCGACTGTATTTCATTTATAGTATCTACAAATTGTTTCTGTGCGGTCGACCGACCAAAACTATCAGTCGACCGGTCCTTTAGCAGTCCACCAAAATTGTCAACCAGTCAACCGATAGTGATTATCAACTGCACTGTATATTTTTAGTCGTTCTGGTCAGTCGACTGGTTCGTTGATTAGTTGATCGGTTTGCGGATTTTTAGGTAACGGTTAGTTTTATCCGAATCCGATTTTTAAGGGATTTGTTTCAAAAAATATTTTTGGACAGATTTGATCAGATTTGGAGCCTATACCTTCTGATGTGGTTGAGAGACTATAAATAGTCCTCAAAGACCCATTTGATTTTAAGAAGAACAAGGCAACTTGTGATTCAAATTTTCAAAGCAAAATTTCTCAAGCCTTTTTTCTTCTAAGTCTTTCACTTTCATATACTCACAATCCCAATGCTTCAATAGTCAATCTCTTCATCATTGTCATAGGATTCTAGTAAGAGAGATTATTATCATCTTGTATTGTGTGGTTTTGTGTGGAGAGTTGGATCTCGAGGAGATTATTGTGTGAGAAGTTTCAGCTTTCAAACCGGGTTGTGGAGTGGATTACCATCTGGAGAGGTGGTCGGGAACGTAGGTCAAGAGTGGTTGAACCTTGTAAACATATCACCGTCTTTATTGGCTAACTATCTCTCACCCTCTCTTTTATTTTTGTTTATTGTAATATTTTGTGTCTTTGATTGAATTGTATTATTATTAAATGCACATTTTATTTGATTACCCTATTCACCTCCTTCTAAGGTACTTTCAGGCTGTCCACCTAGGTTTTGAGAGTATTTAGGGAAGCATTGTCTGCTTACGTGGATTGCACTCTTTAGACATTAATCGTGATTTCCTATGTTACATCCTCCACGTCCTCCAACCTCCTTCAAACTTCTTTAACTTCTAAATATGAACACATCCACTATCTCCTCCAACCTTCAGCAAAGCATCCTTGACCACAACTTAAATGAAGAAAAAACTCCACCTAGACACCAGTCTAACATCTAAGTTTTCTATAACATTGATATTTACTATCAAATATTATAATTAAAAAATAAAAAAAATAAAACATCCTAGGCTCTAGGTGTCGGGTCCAATTCCTAGTTCTCCTAACGCTTTCTATAATATTGTTAGTTATTATTTTGGTTGTTTAGTATTTAAGTATGCATGGTTTATTATGGATCTAAATTTGCTATTATTTTTTGTGCAAACTTATATGAATTTAATACATATTTTTATCAATTATTATAATTAAATAATTTAAAAATGAGCCAAACGCCTATGCGCCGCCTAGGCATCTAAGCGTTAGGCGCTGGCTCAAACACTTAGTCCGCCTAGCACTTTCTGTAGCATTGATGTACCATCCACTTTAATAAACTTCTGATCCATTTTCTAGTACTAGAATCCAAATTAAATCAAATGACCATGAACTTGTGTTCAAAGCCTATCAATGAGAAGTTCATCTGCATAATCCTTTTGTTATGGTGTTTTTAATCGTCAAAGTATGACTTTTTACTAGCAACGGATAGGTGTCCCCCTACGTGTACCGCTCAAATCAAATTGACAATCAGGACCACCAAGAATCCCGACTTAACCGACTCGTCGAGTCGATATCTCCTTAGATCGACTCGAAGAGCGATACTTGTCGGTCCTCTTGTCAAAGACGACTCTCTACCAGTCCACTCGATCAGTTATTCGACACCTTACAAGGTCAACTCGAAAGGCGTTCCTTCTTGACACCCCTCGCTATAAGCCAAAGGATGACTTCAATCTTGAGCCTCCCCCGCTGACAACGCGTCGGTATCACATTAAATACTTGACAGACGTCATCGTTCCTCTAGCCTCGATAGTCTTCATGACACATCGGACCATGTCAGCACCATTATGCTCTCAATCAGTTCGTATTAAATACTGAGGTGACCTCTCCTCCACTCGTCGACCGACATTTGTAAAGTAGATGCTAACTTAACCGTCATCCCATACCCGTTTGTCGTCATCCTGTACTCGCCCAAGATTATCATTCTATCATTTTACCACCACTATAAATAGGGGTACTATTCCAAATACCAGAGCAAACAAGCAATGTCCCAGAATTCTTCTCCATTCCACTGTACTTAAGAACTCACACAGTTCATCACTTTCCCATTCAAGTTTGTCACTGACTAGATAGTCAGAGGAAAATAGGGAAACTAGTCCCCGTCCTCTTACGAGTTGTTTTTTGTGTAGACAAAAGCTACTCTACTCAAAACCAGATATTCGGGGAAGTTAGCTGCTTCTAATCAACCTCACCCCCATTATATTATCTGTTTGGTTATTTAATATCAACACCTTTTATAACTGTTAAATTTGTCTATTGTGCCAGGATTTTTCATTTTATTAGTATTAAGTTAGTTTGACATGTATTGTTAGCCTACAACCAAGAAGTTACGATGTTTAGTAAGTGATATTTTGACATGCCACCCTTAATAACAATTGAAAATCCCAAACCCCACAACATTTTTCAGAAACAAGAAGAATATGACCGTATCAGTTAAAGTAATATTTGCAAATACCTTCATAGCTGAGTTTGATTTGGGTATGTGAATGCAGGCACAACATAATAGAGAAGGGTTAAATGTCAAGTTAGATGGACGGACATACATTGTCAGTTTACAACCAAAGAAACCAATATTTTGGGTAAAGTGGTAAACCAAAGAAACCAATATTTTGGGTAAAGTGGTTTTATTACAGTAACATATTATAGCAGGGTTAGGATAAAAAATTTCACACAGATTTTAGTGCTAGAGAACAAGTATCAAATGTCTTTTTTTCATAAAAGAAACATAAAATATGCATGGCGGTTTGGGATTTTGTGGAGAAGAGGGTAAAGGGAGATTGATGTCCGACTAAGTTACACGGATACATCTGCAGGTAAGGGTACAGGAAATGGAAAATTTGTAAATGGTAGATACGGTGACATGACTAAACTATATAATAATAATTTACATAAGATCAGTATTATTTTTTTTCATTTCACATGCTATGAAACAAAATTCCTATGACATTTATATGTTTCTTTTATAATATGGATCTACAAATAAGAATTTAGCTCATTTTAAACTTTATATCCAAAAGACCCTTTATACTCATAGTTCTGAACTGGGTACTGGGTGAAAAGAGCCCCAACTTATGTCCAATGAGTTTTAAGAATTGCATGTGAAATGTACGACATATGTCAAGAAGTATATGACGAGTGTTTTAACTCAAACATATATCAAATAATTGAGTACACATTGGAATATGTGTATGCAAATATCCAAGGAATGTCTGCTGAAGTTTCAGTGTTGGGTATGGTACGACACAGTACGACTCCAAATAGAAGTACCCATGCAACATAAATGTCTTCAATATATGTTTATGGTTAATCTGATAAGCACCCTCGATAGTTCTTCAGGGAAACTAACAGAAAACAAAATGTCATAGGATGCCATAATACGTTTAAAATATACTGCAAACTGAGAAAGAGTACTTGCCTATTCCAACACGTGTACCGACAGTAAGTTCTGAGAAATCAATATTCCATTCTTCAAAAGGTAATAATGGCTTATTCAGAAACGGGGAAGAATGCAAGACTTTGCTCCATGTTGAAGTCAGATCTCCGGTAATTAGGAAGTCAGAAGATTGACTTCCTCCAGAAGTCTGACCCTGAAATTCATGCGGAGATGAAGGCAATGATAATGCATTTTGAGTAGGATTTAATTGCTTGCATGTACCAGATATTCTTCCAGATGTTTTGTCAGGACCATCCAAATCAATATTTAATACCTAAAAAAAAAGCAAGCAGGTCAATAATTTTACACGTGGCTTGTCAAAAATAATTACTGGCAACAAATGTGCAATCTAAAATGGAAAGTAAATAAGTGAAGGTAATTGGACAAGGTTGCTCACTCTACCTGATTCATTAAGTGGTATGGAAACCTAGAGTAAATGACAAATTGAAGTTTAAATATAACACCACAAACTACGATAACTTGCCAGAACACCGGTATAAACTATTCTTGAATTATCACTGAAAAATATACTGATCCAACTGGTGCTCACATAAATTTCCTTCAAGCTCAAAAAAAGGAAAAAAAAGAAAGAAAAAAAGAAAAAAAAAAGAAGAATCCTAGGTACAAGGCCCAATCTATACCCATCCTCCTATTTAAACATTTCTACATCCATCAAATTTAATTTAATCAACTTTAAACAAAAGCGTGCAAGAGAAATCTACTCTCCTAATATGGTGGACATCACTAACAATACTAAGCGGTGAGCAAGTTTTCTACTTTGCTAATGTACATATTGCACTGCATGAATAGCCTAGGATAAAGGTATTTAACTCAAAACCTACAGAAAAAACTACAATTTAATAATTAGCTTATGGATAAACTAAGATTCATATTCCATGATTGGGGATATAGAAATAATAATGGAAACAGGTAAACTTCTAATATCTATCTAATATTTCCTATGTGAACTTCTGAATAAGTGGACAATGTAAAATTCCATAAGTTCTAAAGACAACAGAATGATTACTGCAAATAATACAATAAGCTTTGAGGTCAAAGTTCTGGTCATGAAGCTAATATCATTATCAAAGTACAAAATCTCCAAATTTTAGATTCAAGCAAGGAAAGAAGCACTGACACAAGAGCAATTTTTATTTGTTGGATTAAAGAATAAGAGCCATATTTTTGCAGATGATTGACAAAGAATCTTTAAACATGACCATGAAGTTAAATAGTTACATGAATTCCATTGCAAGACAAGACATAAGATTTATTTAAAAAACCAACATGTAGCAAATGTCTTATCATACCCAAATGTACTAACTAGAACGATAAAATGGCTTGATAGAACATAACTGAAAAAAAAAGCTATTTCAATTAATAAAAATGATCTAACATACATTTTTAGATAAATCATTTATATCCTTCTTGGCATTTCTTGAATGCAAATTCGCACCTTCATCAGCCTGGGCCCTTACAAGACGATTTTGCTTCAGTGTTCTGTTCATGCCTCGAACAGCCCTGAGTAAAAAAGTTCAGTCACTTGAACAAAAGAATGGTACATATTGAAAAATTTAAGACTAGTTTATTCTCAATATCACCAACATATCCTTGCTACAGAGGTAATGTAGGATTAGCAAAGAGGAGAACCACGGGTTCAGATTCTGGAAGCTGATCCCAATTCATAATAATTTACTAAAAACCTAGTTCAGGTTGCACTTCATTCTATGTCATTTAGTACAAATATTTCTTCATGACAAAAACACAGTTATACATGATCTACTAACACAAATGAATATGGCCATTATTGAGCTTGACAACAAAATTAAATTTCAAATATACCCAGAAGTAACAAAACCAAGAAGACTAGACATTAACATGTATGCATGGGAATAGAAGGCCCTTTTTGATTGGCGTAGATACAAATGTATCTGGGTCTAACCATTCGAACTACAAACTATTTAGAGTAAATATGCTTCAAAACATTTTCATAAACAACAATTAGGGAGAGAGAAAAAAAAGCAGAAGAATTCACATGAAAAATACTAATAACCAACAATTAAAGTAATTTTTTCAATGTGAATTCTACTTAATGAAAATGGACAGGAAAAACTGATTGCAAAGAAAGACAAAAGATACTTAATGAAAATGGACAGGAAAAACTGATTGCAAAGAAAGACAAAAGAATGATAAAAGAATGGAAAGTTTATAAAAGAAACCGAGATGTAGGACAGATTGAAGGTCAAATCCAAATTTGGTTGAAAAGTCCTTATCCGATTGAAACTGATTGCAAAGAAAGATAAAAGAATGGAAAGTTTATAAAAGAAACCGAGATGTAGGACAGATTGAAGGCCAAATCCAAATTTGGTTGAAAAGTCCTAATCCGATCGAAACACTACTTTGGATAGATAAATTTGTTAGGAGATAAGGATATTTAGATTTAAATTTTAAAGTTTAGTTTTTGAATTTAAATTCTAGGAGTTTGATTTAGATTTCAAATTGTATTAGGATAGAGTTGTTTTAGATTTGAAGTGTAGTAGGGTAAGAATTATTTAGTTTTGAATTCTATCAGAGAGATCAGATTTGTAAACCCTATATATATGGGTTATTCTTTAATTGTATTCATAGATTATGAAGAATTTATGAAAGTTTGAAGAAAATCTTATGTGATTCTTCTAAGGCAGAAGCCATTGCTTCTCAGTGTAAAGCCGAAAGGGTTAAGCGTCAGCATGTAAATCCGGTTTAACAAACAGTTAGATATTTGCGAGTGAATCCGATCTAACCTCAATTTATCTTACTTTGCTAGTCTTTTATTTTTATAAAATAAAAAAGGGAAAGTAGTGTTCACGGGTACTACTGCACTATTCGTGGTTACTGCTCATCAGTACACTGGTCATCATCAATTCCACTCTGCATTAAACCGGCATTTGGAAAATTAAGTGTGAAAGTTATGATAAACAAATAATAATAATAATAATAATAATAATAAACTCGTGTGATGATTGTTAACTTTGAGAAAGTAACACCAACCTGACAACATCATCACCAATCTCAGGTATGATGCTAATGCTCCTTCTTCTTGATCTCCGTCTGTCAAATGTTGATGCACCTTCAGACCTACATGTGACAGGAAACAATTTGATCATTCACTAGCAAACAACTTCATGAGACACAATGTTGAAATGCAAATGGTTCAACCAACCATGTGCTGTGCATAAAGTGCAATACAAGCAGTTGCAAACCAACTAATGAAGTATAGTGCAATTTCAACATATGTGTGCGCAAGACCATCAATCATGTTTTGATCCTAGAGTGATGTTAAAGGTTGATATAGGTAAGGCATATGATACAGTTGATTGGAGATTTTTGAGGAGTATGCTATCTCTATGGGATTCCCTGATAAGCACAATGGTGGATGGTGGAATGTGCTAGTACTCCTCAATCTCTATTTTTCTTAATGGTGTCTTCCCCTCGATTCATCTTGACCCATGAGCATTGAAACGAAAATAGTCTCCAATTCCTCCACCCATCTCACAAGCCAAAAGCATTCCCATTCTAATCATCTGTCTTTGTGGAATTATCCTCAATAGCATACAATATTCAGAGTTATGAGCACTAATTTTTGTCTCCATCAAGTAATAGAATGTATATGATCATCTTTAATTATTTGAACATGATATTTACATATGGAATTTTGATTGTTCAGTTTTGAACAAGTTGTTATCGTCTCTTCTTGTGAGATTATATACAACATTTCTCGTTTCTTTTTTAGGCAAGATTATACATATATTTCAACAAAACTAATCCTCTTCAACCTTCGATTTCTAATATTTAATATAAGAAGGGGTACAATCGTACAAGAGCAAATAACAAAGAAAAACTACTGCCCCATGTGATCGGCACAGTCCACTTGGTAATTTCTCATTTCCTCTGCCTTGGCTTAGTATATTATCATGTTTAACTTATGTTTGTGGACCTCCCTTTCCGATATTGCTGCCTCCGCCACTGAAAGTGGATGTCATTACAAGAGTGTGCAAGTGAAATAGTTCTCCACAATGTAGATATTAGATTGAGAGCTTGTAGTTGACTGTGTAGATATTTGGGTATACCGAGGTCATTTTTTGTACTTCAACGTTCAGTTTGGTAATGAGAATATATTCATTTACCAAAGAAAAGCTATTAGAAGTACAAATATTAGGAAAAGATATAGCTGACTCTACGTTTATAAACAATAGGATCAGTTTCTGTACAAATAGTGTTGAATGGATTTGGAAAAGTTTTCGATCAGTTCATTCCATATTAAGTTTATCAACACATGTACACAAGGGACATCATCCAGGTGGCACTAAGTTATACAGTGTTAAAATTTGGAGAGAAAAGAGATTATTGGAGAGTTATCTCCTCACTCTATACTTTATTTATAGAGATGGATTAGTTACAAGTTAGTCTCACAAGCAATGTGAGACTAAACTAATACTCTCTTCTTCTATCACCCTCCCTCAAGCTGGAGCATATATATCATGCATGCCCAGCTTATCACAAATAAAGTCGACCCGTGTTTGACCAAGTGGTTTTGTAAGAATGTCTGCCAACTGATCTACTATCGATACATGTTTTACCGTGATGATTTTATCCTCGAGCTTCTTGCAGACTACAAGAGTGTCGACTTCAATGTGCTTGGTTCTTTCATGAAACACGGGATTCTCAACAATGTGAATTGCTACTTTATTGTCGCCGTATAGATCCATGAGACATTCTGGACGGAGACCAATTTCTGTCAATAGGTCTCTGATCCAAACCATCTCTAGTGTCACATTTGCCATAGCTCTGTATTCTGATTCTGCACTGGATCGAGATACAACACTTTGCCTCTTACTTTTCCATGACACTAGATTTCCTCCGAGAAAGACACAATATCCAGTAGTTGATTTCCTATCAAAAGAACATCCAACTCTATCTGCATCAGAGAAGCCTACAACTCTGGTGTCCTTGATCTGAATACAGAATTCCTCGTCCTGGAACCTTCTTTAAGTACCTCAAAATTCTTATTACTACATCCAAGTGAGTAGTTCTTGGTGCGGACAAGAATTGACTCACAACACTGACTGCAAATGTGAAGTCAGGTCTGGTCACCGTCAGATAATTCAATTTTCCTACCAAACTTCTATACTATCCAATATCTTCAAGAAGCCCCCCCGATCTTGTAGTAGTTTTGAGTTCACATTCATTAGAGAATCACTGCTTCTGCATCCTAATATCCCAATTTCTGAAAGCATATCCAGGACGTATTTTCTTTGTGATAGAAGAATACCCTTCGTTGACTTTGCTACTTCAATGCCTAGGAAGTATTTTAGGGAACCAAGATCTTTGGTTTGGAAATGTGTCTGTAAATGCTTTTTCAGGCTGTCAACACCAAAAGTATCATCACCAGTAATTACAATGCCATCCACATAAACAACAAGCATAATTCGTTTCCCATTTTGAAATCGCCAAAAGACAGAGTGATCTTTCTGTGTACGACAGAGCCCAAATTTCTAAATAACCAATGCAAAACATCTAAATAAGGCTCTCGGAGATTGCTTCAGACCATCAAGTGATTTCTTCAGCCTACACACCTTCGCATTCTCCCCCTGAGCAACAAAACCTGGTGGTTGCTCGATGTAAACCTCCTCATCGAATACCATTAAGAAATGCATTCTTGATGTCCAATTGATGAAGTGGCCAGTGATTTGTCGCTGCTAATGAGATAAAAATACGAACAGATGTCATTTTTGTCACTGGAGAGAACGTATCTAAGTAATCTAAGCCACATTGTTATCGAGACGCGCGCCCCGGACATGGGGCGCTGCAGGATAGGACAATTACGCCTTGCACAACAGGCGGGGCACTGCACGCACACGAGGCGCACGCGAGCTTGACACCTGTGTCATGTAATACTCTTTCTTCTATTTTTTAAATAATTTACATATTACATATTTACATGATTACATCATGTAATAGACTCTTTCTTGCTAGTTGCTAATCCATTCTCTATCTTTTCACGTTTAACCTATAAAAAGGAAGCAATAATTAGTAATTTAGTATACTTGTTTGCTAATTGTAACTTCCTTCTCTAATTAGCATGCTAAGTAGAAAATTATGAACATGTAAATATGTAATTATTACCTCCATTCTTTATTTTTTCATGCTAATTAGCAAATAGCAATTAAGAATGCTAACTAAAAAATTATGAACAATTTAAAAATACATATATCATATTTTAAATGAAAATACATATTTCATATTTGTTACTTGTTTGTTTTGTTTCATAGACTTTTGATTATGTTAGAGATTATCTTGCATTATGATTTGTAAAAGTTTATGAACTTCTCCATGTTATGCATGTTAATTAATACTCTTTCGTGATTTAGTAGGTGAAATAATATTTCTTGGCCTTTTTATGTGATAATTTACAAACGTGTTGCTTATATGCTTCTTTATCTTATATCGAAAATATTAGTTTGAGTTGTAAACCTCAATTCAGTGAGATGCGCACATCGTTATGCGCCTTGCGCATGGTGCACGTAAGGGGCCTTTGCGTCCTGTATTGTGCCTTACGCCTCGATAACAATGCTAAGCCATACACCTACGAATAGCCTTTAGTAACCAGTCGAGCTTTCAGGTGTGCCAAAGTTCCATCAGGATTCAATTTGACAGTGTACGCCCACTTGCAGCCGACGGACTGCTTTCCTTGTGGAAGTAGGACCAAATCTCAAGTCTCATTCTGTCGCAAGGCCCTCATTTCGTCTTACATCGCTTGGTTCCAACCTAGAATAGACAGGGCTTCTGACACATTTTTGGGAACCAAATATAAGTCAAGAAAAGATTGAAAGGTGGAGGAGAGGCGATCATAAGAGACAAAGTTAGAAATAGGATGTTGAGTACAATTCGTGTCCCTTTTCGAAGTGCAGTAGGAAGGTCTTCCGCAGAAGGGGGTAAATTTAGACTTACTGATTCTGGTTCTTCTGGCAAAGGCCGTGGTGTTGAGGCCGATGTTGGCTTAGGAGCAGGAACAGAACGACGGTGATAAACTTGAATTAGGTCATTAAATCGAGAGGAATCTTTACTAGTAGCGTAAATAGTATTATCAGTGGATGAACCACCATCGTTAACCAATGACTCTTGCAGGATTAAATAGTCATACTCATCCGATGATAATGGAGTTGGAGAACTAGAATAACCAAGTTTGTCTTCAAAGAATGTTACATCAGCAGATAACACAAGACAATTGAGTGATGGATAGAAATACTTGTAATCTTTATGTTTTCGGGAGTAGTCAAAAAAATACCTTTAATAGACCGAGAGTCAAACTTTTATTTGTTTGGACTGTGATTATGAACAAAGCAGAGAGAGCTAAAATTTTTTGGAGGAAGCGAAAAGAGATCATCGTTGGGATATAGAACTTTAAAAGGAATTTTATCTTACAAAACAGAAGAGGACATTCGATTAATCAAGTAATATGTTGTTAGGATAGCTTCCCCCTAAAACTCTTTAGGAACGTGATGATGAAATAGCAATGTTCGAGCAATATCAATGAGATGTCTATTTTTTCGTTCAACAACTCCATTTTGTTGAGTGTAAACACAAGAAGACTGATGGAGAATTCCATGTTGTTCAAGGAAACTAGTGAAGTTAATTTTGTTGAGTGTAAACACAAGAAGACTGATGGAGAATTCCATGTTGTTCAAGGAAACTAGTGAAGTTACCATCCAAATATTCCTTTGCATTATTACTGATGGAGAATTCCATGTTGTTCAAGGAAACTAGTGAAGTTACCATCCAAATATTCCTTTGCATTATTAGATCGAAATTTTTTTATCGAAGTCTTGAATTGGTTGACTATTTCAGAATAAAAGAATTTAAATGTAGAAAAGACTTCAGACTTAGACTTAAGAAGATAAATCCAAGTAACACGAGAGTGATCATCCACAAAACTGACAAAGTATCGGAATCCCAATTTAGAAGTTATTAGGCATGACCCCAGACATCAGAATGAACAAGATCAAATAGCTTTGCAGCCCTCTTATTGACTCGATTATGATAAAGATACACGGTGGTGTTTGTCAAGTTGACACGACTCACACTCTAAAGAGGAAAGAGATTTGAACTGGGGATTTAGAAGCTTGAGAACAAATAGAGAGGGATGCCTTAGCTGACAATGGTATTGTAGAGCTGATGAGTTTCCAATACAAGTTAAATATTTGGCGCCCAAGTCCAGTTTATAATGACCGTTTTGCTCGTCTTGTCCTAATCGTTTTCCTTGTGACCAGATCCTGAAAGATAATGTGTGGGGGAAAATGTCACAATACAGTTTAGTAATTTAGTAATCTTACTAACAGATAAAAGGTTACAGGGAAAACTAAGAAGATAGAATACAGAGGAAAAGGGGAGACTATGTGTAGGATTGGTGTTGCCGATACCCTGAACAGATATACGTGAACCATCAGTTAATATAACTAAATTAGATGTAGGAGAGAAAGAGGACAAAATACCTTGATTCACAGTTATATGATCGTGGCACCTGTATCTATAATCCAAGTATGAGACGAAGACGATGTAAGTGTAGATAAAGAGGTACATGCACTTTTGAGAGTAGTGAATAAAGAGGAGGATGATGGTTGTGAACTTTGATACTGTTAGAATAATTAAAATTACTGAAATTGACGTTGCTCATCCTGAAAGACTAAATGTAGTTAACTTTCACTATCATATGAGGTGAAGTTGTCCTGAGCGGCCATGAAAGCACCTTTGGCCTTCTTTTCCAATTCAGGATAATTATATTTGAGATGTCCTGATTTGTAACAGTAGTTACAAGTCTTCACTAAGTCATCGTCATTAGCATGTTTGCCTTGAGATGGACCTTCACGACCACCTCGTTGACCACCTCGACCCTTAGAACGACCAGTGTGGTAACTTCCTCTCCCTTCAAAGTTACCTCTATCTTTTCCAGGACCACCAATATGACCCCCGTCTATAAAACTACCAACTCTAAGTGGCAAGCGCAAAGCGATTCGTGGTGGATGTAAGTGGCTGTGTAGGGACAACGTTCTTTAAAAAGTGATAAGTCTCAGCTAGAGAACTAATGGCGTAACTCCCCATGATTTGTGGGCGAGCAGAGGAGTAAATGGAATCTAGGATACCCAAGTAGGTGAGTACCATAAGTTTGTTCCATTGATTTTGCATATGTTTTACATCTCTAGTAATAGAAAAAATCTGAAGAAGTTCCTCAGCTAAACGATTGAACTCACCATAATGATCATTCATGGGTTTACTATCATGTTTCTTACGAAACAGCTCTTGAATAACTTCATATGCTCGATTAATATTATTGCTACCCCATAGAGATCTTGTAAGAAACACCAAAGTTTTTTCACTGTCATACAATGAAAGGCTAAATCCTGAATTTTAGGCTCCATAGTATTAAGAATCTGATATAAGAGGACATTATCATCTAATGTCCAAGACTCGGGTGTTGGAGTAGGAAGGTCCGTCAACAAATAACCAGTTTTGCCTCGATCTGTCATGTAGATTTTAATAACACGCTTCCACTGGAAATAGTTAATTCCATCAAGTCTTCGGTCAGTGATTCTAACAGAAAATTTATCTGAAACTTTCGTCTGAACTGTTAACTCAGAATTCTTGAGTTCTTCAGATTCGGCCATCATGAAACTGACGAGTAGAGATCAAGACGACACCCTTCACAAGTTGAACAAGTCCAAGAACCCGAAGATTAATAATACAAAAACCCGAAGGTTATCATACAAGAACCCGAAGGTTAAAATGCAAGAGTCTGAAGGTTAACATGAAACCTGAAGGTTAAAATTCAAGAACCCGATTTTTTTTAGAACAATTCGCAGATCTAAGTCAGATCTGAAAACAAAAGGACATGACAGCGGCAATCATCGATGGCTTGCGGGAGTTGTCGAGGAAGATCGGATCGGTGAAGTGGATCTGGATCTGGAGTTTTCTCCATGGACCACCGATTCAATGATCCAAGTCGGACGTGAAGGAGGTTTGACATTGATGTTTTGATTGTGGAAACAAGAACTGAAGTGAATATCTTAGCAAGGTAAGATAAACACTCTTCTTAAGATCAAATCCAAATTTAAACTCGAGGAAACAACGAGCATGGTAATATCCAAGTTGTCAAGGAAGCAAGTGGCAACGAACAAAGCAAGTGGCGGCGGTGGCGGACGAAGCAGGTAGTGACGGATTTGATCTTTGGTGGCTGGTTTCGAGAGAGAGGAGAGGAGACGGCTAGGGTTTCAAGAGAGAGGAGAGGAAGTGGCTAGGGTTTCGAGAGAGAGGAGAGGCGGCGGCTAGGGTTTAGGAATTAGGGTTAGGGTTTAGGAGGCTCTAATACCATGTTAAAGTTTGGAGAGCAAATAGATTATTGGAGAGTTATCCCCTCACTCTATACTTTATTTATAGAGATGGATTAGTTACAAGTTAGTCTCTATACTTTATTTATAGAGATGGATTAGTTACAAGTTAGTCTCACAAGCAATGTGGGACTAAACTAATACTCTCTTCTTATTTATAGAGATGGATTAGTTACAAGTTAGTCTCACAAGCAATGTGGGACTAAACTAATACTCTCTTCTTATAACACATAGTATAGTATATGTATGTAACTTAAGTTAGCAATAAATGCACAAATGCATATGATAATATAGCTGGCATAGGGGGAGAGAGATTCACAAAAGCAAAGAATCTATTGACTCATCAACTAAAAAAGAGAAGAAAATAGCATACTTCTAGAGTTGTGTAGTGGTGTTAAGAACTGAGAATGGAACTGATTATCTAACAAAAAAAGAAAATACCTGAAAAGACAAGACAAAAAAGCACAATAAAAGGACCAACCTAACCTCGAAATTGCTATCAAGAAAAGGTTAAACTTTGCTGATCATATTACAAAATGTTGCCAAGAAGTTGTAGTGGGGTCCTATTATCATGCTACCTGATCCACGTATGTCCTGATTTCTCAGTTTATATAAAAAAAGTAGATCAATTAAATTATTGGACCCAAATATGGATTACAGAAATAGTGTTGTTTCCTTACATATATCTACATGTTTTAGTTGATTCCATTAAAGCAACAACAGATCCAAATACCATGCCAAGACAATTTCTACATAATTATATTGTCATGTAAATAACTTACGGCCTGTTTGATTCAAAAAAATTGGGCTGCAAATGTGTGGAAAACTATTGATTATCGTTTTCCTGTGTCAAATTAGCCAAAAAGATTTGTTATTCCGCTATTTGGTACTCCAGAAAAACTCTCAGGAAACCTTTCCAAAAACATCATAAAACATCATCAAAAATGGAAAACCCAATTCCTAGTTTCTAAGGCGAAATTGGGTGGAAAACGAATAAAGAAAATATTAAAATAAGGAGCGACTTTAGGGTTTTCTGTTCCTTAGGTTTACACCATTTCAATGATGTTTTTCAAAACAAAAAAAAGCAAAAAAAAAAAAACATCAACTTCTAGTTGTTTCTCTGCACGAATACTTTAAAAAAACATTTTTTTAAAGTATGATCCAAGGTATGGATTTATGATGATAGAGGTTTCCCCCTTGTCTCTCCCCCCCTCTCTCTCTTGGTGAAACAAAGCAAAAAAAAACTTTCCCAAGAAATGCATAAAAAACTCAAAAAATGATTTTTTGCATTGGAATCCTCCTATTCCTCTAATGGAAATGTACCAAACAGGCCCTTAAGAGTAACAAGGAGAATTTCTCATCAACTTCTAGTTGTTTCTCTGCACGAATCGATATATTTCTATAAATAAAAGATAACTTGGTGAATCAAGAAACAAAATATTGATCCTGTAAAATACAAAACTGGGTAAAGATAAGAATCTTGCATTAGTGCTGAAGTTAATGTATATTGCTACTAACCCACCCCTTCTATTGCCATCCCTGCTTCCATATGAGAAATATACTAGAAAAATGAAAGAAAATAAAGAGCAGAGTCAGATGCGTGACCATATATTTGAATTCCATTAGAGAATACCTTGATGCAGCAACTTCCTCTGCAAAATCTCTAGACAAGTGCTGATTGTTGCTAAGTATAGAGTGTCCACATCCTTGTGACCGAGGATGCTCAGGACTGCACAAAAGAATCAGATAAACTACATAAGCTATGAAAAGAAATTTTAAGGTACTAATTCCTGCAAGTCAGGAAGTTCTATTTCTAGATTAAGATAACATGTCAATTTTATTTAGCGGGAGAAAAAGGAATCAAAGCATGTCTTAAAAAACACAAAGCCATCTATTCTCTCCCATTAACTAAATTAACTAATAGTTATGTAATTTTCAGAAGGTCAATGTAAATTCCAAAAAATGGAAGAACCTTGAACTAGCTGTCTGTTGCTTTTCTATAACAGCTTTTCTCCGGCAGTTTCTCCAGAATGCATTTGCAATGTCAGGTACACTATGTGATGAACTAATCAAAAAAATAATAAGTTAAAATCTATGTCAAAATAAGTGTTAAAAATCAAATGATGAAAAGACAAGGATATATACAGTTGGAAAAAGCATAACCCATTTTACATGCTTTTAGAATTTCTAGTCTAAACTTTGTACTGAATGCAGCATCAGTAATACCTTAAACTTTTTTCTCTTGAACTTGATGATAGCATGACATGCCGCACTGGAGGACCATAAATATTTGATGGTGCCTCAATTTTTCGTTGATATGAAGAATGGAAGGTGTCATTTTTCTCTGGACTGCAACTGCACAATGGAACAAGAGATATTTCATTTTGTGTAAACAAAAAGAAACCACAAGTTTCCAGATAATCACTAGAAAAGATCACAAGATGAAATGTAATAATATAAACCATATGATAAACCAGATAGCATTGACAAATTTCATGAGAAAGCAACTGGTCTCACTGTACACTCTGTAGCTTCAGCAAGCAATCGGTATATTTTTGGATTGAAGCAATTTACTTTCATCATGTTTTTTTGCAAAAAAATACTTGACGTAGGAAAGCGTAAAGTCTGGATGTGCGTCTAACTAAAGAAAATAAGTAGATAAATATAAATATTATGTGTAGATTTTTATTTGCAGTATAAACCACCATTGATCTAACAAATCTCAAGATAGTCATGAACACAAATAGAAGCTACCACTATAGCGGCCAAAAAATTGATTGAATGATGGGCAATTGATCAATTATGACCTTGAATATTCCCCAATAAGCATGAATTACTATGAGAAAAATAAAGAGAGTGCAATGCTCTTTGTGCTCATATTTGATCAATGTAAAAGAAGACTGTCTCATAGTGAAGTGCAATTTGCAAAAAAGATATATTGGACACTAAGTTGCACAGGTGCGGATGCATCTATTGGACACGGTATATTTGTAAAAGATATGGTACGTGGACACGGTTGAAACTGATGGGATATAATCATAGTTCTGAGCTATATAGATAAACGAACCTTTTAAATTCTTGTTCTTGAGGATGAAATGAACTCGACCTTTATCCCATAAGTGACAAATATGGATGTGAAGTGTAGGATATATATCGAAGAAGTGTATGACAAATGTTTTAAATTAAACATGCAATCTATAATTAAGTACTGGTCTGAATAAATATATGTGTGTATTTAAGTAGTGTCCAAGAAGTGTCATGTACAGGTATGGCTCCATTTTAGAGTACCCAGGTAACATAGATTGAACTGCATTATCTCATCCATTACATGTGACAGGACACAGCCAGTTAAAATATAAATAACTAACTAACAAAGTGTTCATGTAGGTCAGGACTGTGTTGCTAATTATACTGAGGCCATCATCATTGATCAATTGATGCAATATTTCTCACATGCATTTTGAAGTGATTGTAACCAAAACAAGTCATCAGATGAAGTTGTTTATACCATTTGCTGCCCAGTTTATCCGTGAAACCAAACAAGGGGCTATTTGGCTCCAGCGGAGAATCGCAGGAATCATATTCCGGAGGGTCGTCTTCTACGGCAGAACTATGGGACATAAACATAGCCCTGTCTGAGAAAGGGATTAATTGGCCTGGGAAACGCATGAGGTCAACAAGTAATTCCACTGAATTCAGCGCAACTACTACTGACATGTGCCTATATGAGTCAATGTGCTCAACAACTCCATCACTAGGTAGCCCCTGCCAAAATAAATAGCAAGAGAAGTTCTGATCATATTCAATTTGGCTAGTAAGATCTTGAAGATTAACTTCAGACTATTATGCTAATATCAGGTAACAAAATGACCAAACAATATAGCAAGATTCAATGAAATCGAATAAGGAGGAAAACCTTCCTTCCATGGTGGGGAAAAAAATCTATTTTTGCCATAAATTGAGATGATCAACACCATTTGTTTTTCATCCCAACAATCTTAAGTATAAATAAACCAAAACTCTTGTAATGTTCTTGATATTTCTCCTTCCATTGGCTGGTTGTAAAATTAAAGATTTCACTATCACAGAACACTTTTCACCTTTACATCTGCGGACAAGGAGTAAATAAATGAAAAAAAATCTTCATAATCTAAATCAATAGTGAAAATGAACTTTTACCTAATAATTAACACACACACTTGCACCCCCGCACACGCACATACATACATCCGTATATAACAACATGACAACAGAGCCCTGCATCTCATTTCTGGCGCCTACATGTGTGTATACACACGGGATAGTGTTTATGATGTGGTCTCTAATTTAGAAAAGTTAAAAACAAGAGATGGAACATGGTGAGGTCCAACCTACTAGTCAAATCGAATGGAAAAATAATGGGATGAGCCTCATCACTTCCCATCTCTAGATAGTTTATCTCACAAATATTATTCTCACACATACACGGATAAAAACACACACAAATAAACAAACAAACACATGCACGCATAGAGACACATGCACACACCCACACATTGGATATGCACACATTATAATATTATATATATAAGTAAATGCATTTATGAGTTGGAGTAGAGACCGTTAAATCTACAAAGTAGATTTTACACTTCTTCTACCATGAATTTTCGATGAAGTGAACTGGCCAAAATTTCAAAGCATGCAAATTGAAGAGGGAAAAACGTAATGATGGACTAATAGTGAATGGTTCGAGGAAAAAAAGTGTCAAAAAAACCTAATTCTTGTTGTCTTGGAAAAGTAACTTAATCTGAAAAGGTATTACCAAAGTTTCATTTATTTAATTTGTGAGACTAGGCCTACTAGTTGCATGTTTGCAACTGGTAGGTCCACCACTTCGATGCCTTGACAGCTCATTATGGCAGTAGGCAGCCACCTCATACCCAGTAGCCAACGTGTGCACACACCTATAATGCATGTACATATATACATATATACATGAAGGTAAAGTTAGAAATAATTACCACCACTAGTTTTGTCTCAAGACCTACAGCATCTGCAAGAACTTTGAATAAAATTGCTCGAGGCCTGCATGATCCATTTCTTATTTGACCTAAAAGTTGAACACCAAGGTTTTCTATTAAATGAGAAACTTCGTCCATTGTAGATTTTGCAGGACTTAATTCTGAATTTGGGCGTTTATAGAAGTCAGTAACCTGCGTTTGGAGCCAATTTACCCAGTATGAGATAATGATCGGAATGTTACTGACTATATTTATAGCAAAGAAAGTATTGATTCTTCACACCTATGAAAGCATCAAGATACAAAATTATCGTAAGATATGCAAAGAGGTAAAAGCGTGTAACCATATCCAGTTCACATTCATGAACACAACCACAATCTGGATAACATTCAGCTCTGAAAACAGAAAAAATTCAGCCCCATCTCTACCCATTCCCATTGGCATCATAATCAAGGTAATACATTCTTCTTTGCCTCATAGTTCAAATTTTTAATTTTCTTCAACCCCCTCCCCCCAAGTGGCAGCACATAATAGTTACATTGGAGGTTGCCAAAAAAATTATCAAACTCCTTGGGCCAGTTACTAAACCTCTCATTATAGTATTTCAAGTCCCCTGTTCAACTATCTTATACCTTACATCTACACTAGTACAATCTGCAGTTGCTTTCATATTATACATAAATTTTTTTCAAGAAATCAAAAGCCCAGTTAAGCATTTACAAAATTTCAGTTCAAAAAAACAATTAACAGATTGGGAATTTTTTTTGCAAATTCAGGGGAATAATATAGAAAAGGGAAAATTTGTAAATCATTAAACATCTGATTTGATGTAGATTAACACCATAACTTGATTCTATTTGGCTTTAATAATTTAATTCTATGCACTGATTTTGACTGCACCTAGATCCACATGTGCATGGTAACTTCCTGCTGTCAAGTATTTCTGTATTTGACAGTCACTTTACAAGGATATGTGATAAAAGTGATGTTAGCATCTAAGTGCCTCTTTTTCAAGTTATCTGACAAGCTGGGATTGACTGGTATCTACGCTCTACCTTAAGTGGGAGAAGTAGTGAATAGAAACATAGTTAAATTGCAAGTCGATAGATAATTCTTTTCCAGAGTAGAAAATCAATTTTATAATATAATAGGAGAATGCTGAAATTTCAATAGACTAAAAATTCCCCTCCATCTCCATCATTTTTTTTTTCTTGTTTCCTGTCTATCACTTTTCAGCATTGACAAACAAGAAAGACGGAAATAAATAAAAGAAGTAAAATGAGAATATACTGCAACAATCCTCTCCTAAATATATAGGGTAAACCCTCTATAAGTAGCACAATCTCAAAGTACAAGTTATGAAACATCCAAGAACAAGGTAAGGATCTATTAATTAATGAAAAAAGAATACTCACTAGGCCTGCAATCCTTTTTATTAGTGAAGCAGGATTCGAGTTCAATCCTTTCACCAATGTGGTGCTCAATTGCTTCAACATAGAAAGCTTCTTATCCTTCTCTGTGTCTACAAGAATAATGTCAGCTTTAAGCCCCCATATACCAAGAGACTGAATTTCATCAGGAGATGGAATCGTATGGAAATTCTCCTTGAGATTCTTCTCCTGCACAGCCCAGATTTGAAGGTCATGATAGCGTATGTATTGACATAAAAAGTAGCATACGGATTTAAAGGTTCGACTCCCCAAGCAAACAACTGTGACACACACACACACACAAAAGGATGGTGGAAGCACATAGAAACTTTGTACAACTACAAAGACATTTATTGGAATAGTTCAATACATAGTTGCATGGTGTTCCCGTGCATGGAACGGGAACGGAAGCATGGTGCACCACATATTTGGAGTTGGATACAGGGGGGGGGGTAGGCTTATATGGTGCACAAGGGAACATGGTTTTCTTTAGGTTCGTCTTGCAAGTGCCTTAATATACAATTTTCTGCAAGAGTCAAATTCGAGGATCAAAAATAGTAAAAGAATTTTCAAGTTGCGGTTAAGGTACGCTTTTTGTTGCTTGTTTTTTTGAAAATGGTTGTTTTTTTTCAAAATATTAACTAATTTTGAATTTTAAGTGGGCTCATCCAATACGCAATCCAATTCGCTGGTGTACTGCATTCCGAGACGATTGAACACAGGTCGTGGTTTGCTATAATGTCCCATGTTCCCGTCATCTATGGTTCAATAGAAGGTCAACTAGTAGTGATAGTCAAACTGAAGTCTTACCCAACCTCTGTCTCAAACTAAACCATATACTCCTGAAATTCCATCCTTAGTCATGTGACTACCAGTGAGGGACCAGCTTATCTGTAAGAAATAGCTCAAGAATGGAAATTGGAGTAACAAATAGCTCAAGAATGATTAACCAATAACCTCGTCTACATGAAATAGAAAATGCTTTATTTTAGGGCAAAACCATCTTCTATGGCAAAAAATAAAAAATAAAAAAGAACAAAAAAAGAGGAACTCCAGCAATCTGAAAGACTTAAACCAGAAGTAAACCCATTCACATAGACTGTCCTTCTTCATAAAGCTAAAATAATAGTATGTAGCAGACTCTACATATTCATTAAGCATTTAAGCTTATTTGGCTGACACAATGAAGAACTAAACAAGATACGAGTTGTCCATAGCACACACACATCTGATCCATGCACAAACCGAACACTCACCCTGAACGGTGGAGCAATGACCGCAACATTTTAATACCTAGCCAAAATTTCCCGTTCTCCCCAGTCAAGATATTAGCTTGAAAATAGTACAATTTTCCCAAAGCAAAAAACTTAACAAGCTGGATACTTGCATTGTAGACTTTGTGATTTCTCGAATCCCTTTCTATATCTCAACGTATTTGTGAGCAAATCCTATTTTCAATGTTACTAGTAGCATAAACGTTATAAGTGTGAAACTTCTTACACATTCCAGATAAAGACCATGCAAATTATTGGACGATCTCATGCTAGCAACGAATGTCATGCAATTGTTGTTAACTGAAGAATTAGACTTCTATCTTGTCTTAGGAATCATGACAATAAATTGGAAACTCTTACCGGGATGACTGAATAGAAACCATTGCGTATTGGACCGGACAAAATTCCTGTTGACCACAAAATCTGAGAAGCAGTCTGAGACGAAACTTCAGCCTGTTCGACATTGGATGCAGACTCTTCAGAGCTCATATTCTGTTCTCCTGTGACAGCTGAACAGATTGGAAGTCATGCAAACTGAAGGGACACCAAATAGGATTAAAAGACCTCAGTTCAGATTGCCTGAATCACCTGGAATCTCTTCCATCTCCAAAAATATCTGAAATATAGGACCATTTCGTCCCACTTCTCACCTCATAAATGTTGTGTAACAGTATAACGCAACAGACCAAGCTAAAAACCAGAGCAACTATATCCAGAAATTTCTGTTCGAAGAAGAATTACCACCGCGTGGTCCAACAGTTGAAATTTGGGAGAAATGTTAGTTTCGATAAGTCATTTTGTTCAGTAGTAATGCACACGGCAATCAAAAGGTTTAATTATTTTAGGACAAGAATACCACAAAATCTTCAAATTTTCAGGACAGAAGTATATGAATGAATAACTAAATTATAGATGGTAAGCATGTCTACTACCCATTGAGACGTTTTCACGAGCGCCACGAGTACTCTTTAACCTGAATTAAGCTGAATTAAAAAGTAGGGAATGATTGCAAATACCTATTAGGAGCCATCTGACTTGGTTTATGTCCGTGTAAGCCTCTAGATGGGTCGAGGGCAATTTACATATGATAACCTCCATACCCGCTACTGATTAATTACCTCATTCATAGAAAATCTACTATATGCATTCTTGGAAGCAGAAACCTTTCGATACTACAAATCATCCTTACTAAGTTCACAATTTCCATCTTTTCTCAGGGTCAACTCAAGCAACTCGATAAAAATTTCAGCCCTAAAGATTACATCTCCTAACAAGTGATATAGACTTAATAAGTGGCTCTAATTTCTATCAATCAACTTAACAGAATCCGACAAAGTTCACAAGAACGACTCAACAGAAAGTTGAGAGATTCGAACTCCCCATCATAATCAGTAAAAACTTGATTCAATAACACTGACACTATCAAATGAATCCACAAAAATTCAATAAAATCTACAAAGTAACAGATCAAAATGAAAAAGAGAAAATAAAGAGGGAAAAATTGAAATCGGAAGAACTCACGAGTGGATCCGAGCATCTTGATGCTGATACGTCAAGATCAGATTGGGGTCGGATGGGAGATAACCAAGGGCATCATCACGTGGAGATCGAGATTTCGCGATAAAGGCGGATAGAGATGCATTCATTCAAACAATACGAAAATTATTTATTTTAGAAATGAGGCAGAGAATTAAGATCGAGAGAGTGAGATTTATAAGGGAAGGAGAGAGCAGGCTCCGAATTTTCTTCCTCGGGGTTTTTACGTATTGGACCCTGTAAATATCTTCTTTTTTTTGCTATTTCAAGTTCATCCTTGCTAATTAGTTATTTACAGTATTTTTCTCCGCTTATTAACCATTCGTAAAAAATATTTTTTTACAGATAAAAAATATTAATTTGTCAGGGCGCAGCGTAAGTAAGACTAGGTCTTTACGTTCAAAGCAAGAGTCTTGACTCTAATCAATTATTTGAAGATCTAATGGTTCATGAGTTAGGATAATGCTGCGTTCGAAGTAATAAAAGTGCCTTATCTCATAGCTCCACCTATTCATATATCCTTCACAGATTTTGAAGCTATTTCAAGGATAACGGAATCTTTTCCTTATATTTTCTCCACCTGTTAGTTCGTTCATTTTTAATTTTTTATAATTATTATATACTGTAAAAGAGAGAATATTTTAGTTGTTGACTTTAGATATTTTCCTTTTTGTTTTTCTCATTCTTCTTTGTTTCAGAAACCTTATTAATTATAGTGCATTTATAGACTCCTCAGGAAATGAATTTATCAGCAAGAACGAAGTAATTAAAAGGCAATCAAAAATATCTTTTATATTCCTATAGTTTCCATTTATCTTGTAGATATGAAACTTGTTAAGTCATTTTGAATCATTTCTTTAATTTATGCACCAATCATTTGAGTTCTATCTGGGTTTTGACATGCTAATTTTAGTTCCTCTAGCGTATGAAATATGTACATAGATCAACAAAAGACTAAAGACAATGTGCATTATTTTCTGTGTTGCTACTGCTATTGTTGATTACTGTGATTAATCGAAAACAAACTCATACCAACAGGGAAACCTCGTAATAATCTCAATGCTTCGGAGGGACTAATCTATTAACAAACATATATGCATAAGAGTTAGAGGACCTGTTGATGTTAAGTAATCAAACAGTCTAATATATTGGTTGAGATTGATTAGGGGGGCCGCTCACTTCTCCGAAATATCTGGTTTCGAGTTTAGTAGCTTCCAGCCTGCATAAATATCAACTAGTGAGAGGACGAAGCTTAGTTCCTCCGTTGTACTTTCGACGATTAAGTCAGCTGGTGAACTTGAGTGGGAAAATGAACTGCGTGAGTTCTTTAGTGTAGTGCAGTACAATATGCAGATATTGCTAGGAAAAAAAAAATCCTTGGAAAGAGATCCTTTTTATGTTGAGAATAGTACATCTATTTGTAGTGGTGCTGAAAGGGTAGAACCGTCATTTCGGCCGAGCATAGGATGGCGGTAAGAAGGTATGGGCTGGCGGTTGCGTCAACACCTACTTTACACGTGCTGGTCGGCGAGTGGAGGAGAGATCACCTTAGTATTTAATGAGAAGTGATCAGAGGCATGGCGGTACTGACGTGGTCCGATGAGTCATGAAGACTACCGAGGCTAGAGGTATGATGTGTCTGCCAAGCATTAAATGTGACACCGACATGCTGTTAGCGGGAGAGGCTCGAGGCTGAAGTCGTCCTTTAGCTTGGCTGAGAAGTAACGCCTTTCGAGTCGACCTCGTGAGGCGTCGAATAACTGGTTGAGTAGGCTCGTGGAGAGTCGTCTTCGACAAGAGGACCGATAAGTACTGCCATTCGAGTCAACTTAAGGAAATGTTGACTCAGCGAGTCGGTTAAGTTGAGATTCTGGGTGGTTTTGACCGTCAATCTAACTTGAGTAGTGCATGTAGGGGGACACATGTCCGTTGCTGGCAAAGGGCCGTACTTTGGCGACTGAAAACACCAAAACAGTTGGCCCCTTTTGTTTGGAGTCGGCTTGGGCCGGGTCCAAGTAAAATGAGAGTAGCATTGGATGGACGTGAGTGTGCATTAAATGAGGGAACTGAAAAGTCATTTCAGATTTTATATGGCTGACGTCACTACACATTCTTTTTGACTTCCACAACTCTGCTTTTCGTGGCTGATTGCGGGCTATCCATGGTGAGTGGGCTGCACTTTGATCCTCGAGGTGTCACTTTAGATTCTGAGAATTAATCTTGGCTGTTGGCCGAAACTTGATCCGGTCGTTCAGCTTCTGGCAGTTATGGATTCAACTGCCTATATATAGAACCAAGGTCATGGAGAGGGCGGTTATTGTTTTTTGAATTTCCCTTATGAGAAAACAACTTTTGCGCCCATCTTTCTCCAGCGGTCACTTCTCCTTTCTACGATGGCATGAAATTCTATTGATCGACGCGCTCTTCTGGTAGAGTTCCACTCCAAAATGACCTAAGCACAGAAGAGAACACTCCACGGGAGATTTCATATCCCCGTGAATACGAGCTGATGGCCCTGATGAGGTCGGAGGTTGTTTATGATCATGGGCTAGATCAGGCCCCGCTCTACTTGAAGCATCTGGAGTTTGGCATGTGGCTGCCCCTACACCCCTTTCTTCAACAAGTTTTCACAGTGCTAGGGGTATTGCCAGCCCAGATGAAGCCAAATGCTATCGCAACCTTGGTGGGGTTTGTCGTGATCTGTCATTGGCTGGCAATAAAGCCATCCTTAAGAGTCTTGGGCCATTTGTGACTGTGATGGTGAACCAGATTGAACCCCACTTCTATTTCCAAATAGTGGGGAAGTACAAACTCGTCACCGGCCTTTTTGACTCAAACAAGGACTGAAAGGAAAAGTTTTTCTAGATCGTGGGGGGCGACTTGAAGTTGGGTTGCTCGAACTGGACCGAGATAAGGAGGGAAGCGCTTATGGGGTGTGACTTGCTCAACACTGAGAGGGATGCGCGGGTTCAGATCAAGGCGTATGTTAGCTCTCGTCGAGTTGAGCATCTGCTTGACAACTCGGTCTTGTGGGTTGCCAACGTGTTTATTGTGCTTCCTTCTGCTAAGGACCATGAGAGGGCTTCAGCCCTTATCTTAGAGATAGCGGAAGCGGCGATGATGCCTACCACTCCTGTGGCTGACCCCTAGGAAGGGCCATCTGCGAGGCCTGAAAAGCGTCTCCGTCGTGACTTTGACCCAATGGAGTCCGAGACGACTAAGATCGAGCCTTCTGCCACCCTTGTACATAGACGGAGGGGGAGGCCCTAGAGGGATAAGGAGCAAGAACCTCGGGCGGCAACCAAGATGGTCGAGACCGATGTGATCCATCTGGATGAGTCGGCCCTAGAAGAGCAGGTCGATGCTAACCAAGAAGAGGGTGGAGCCAAGACTAGAGCTCCTGCTGAGGAGGGCGGGTCATCCATCCGTCACAGCGGGTCGACTCATCGGGTGAGGAGGAAACGACGCCTCCCGTAGGATTAGAATATCCCTTTCCTCATCGTGTCACTGAGATCGGAGAGGAAGAATGGGAAAGGATGAGGCAGTACCTCATTGGGACTTCGGGGGTCAGTCCTCGATATGATATGAGCCTAACCTAGAGCACCGCTACCAGCCTACTTACCACCTCGATGTTAGGGGAACGATCCTCAGTTCTCACCTGACTCAGTCGAGGGTGGTCAAGAAGTTCTGACTTCCTCGAGATGAGGAGTTCTTGTAGGGGGTTCCTAATGCCGGTCTCCACCTAAGTTTTTGGAGCTACTGGTTCGAGGTGCTTTGGTAGAGTAGGAGATATACGGCTAGATGGAGCAGATCTAGACTTCATATCTCAAGCTTTTAGGGGAGGTTGCTTCCCTAAGGGTTAGCAGAGGGGTCGACTCGGAACGGGGTGCGAAGACGCCAACCCCGAGAGCTTCTGAGGTCGACAAGCTCAGGAGAGAGTTGAAGGAGAGCAACAAGAAGGCTAGGAGACTAGATGAGGCTCTCTGGAAGAGGGATCATACTATGGTGCAGGTCAAGGCTGAGAAGCAGGCGACAATGCATGCGAAGCGTCAGATGGACGAGGAGCATGCAACACTCGTTAAGCTTCAAGGGGCTCGCCCACCTACAGGAGTCCTTTGCAGTGGCCTAAAGCCGTAATGCCCACTTCGAGTTTGAGCCTTATCGCCAGGAATCGTAGAGATGTATCACCAGGGTCTTACTTGGAAACCAGAAGTGGTGATAGCCTGTAAGGTAGGGTACGACTACCTCTCGACGCAACTTCCAATCAAGATGAGGAACCCACTCAATTGTTTCCACTATCATCTCATTGTAGCCAGGTGTTTGGATGGGTTGGTGGAGGTGGAAGCACTTGGAGGGGGACTCGATCTTGGTGAGGAAGAGGAGGACACTGCTCGACTCCTCCGCTGGCTGCTCCCAGCGGTTCTCTGACTGTGACTCCAAGAGTGGGAATAGACCTCTCCTAGTCTCCTAGGGCTTTACTATTTCTCACTTTTGTTGTATATATGTACATATGTACCTTGTAAATACTCCTTATGAATAAAAATATTTTTGAGCCTAAATTGCTTTTCTTATGCTTGTGCAATCTCAATTTATATTTTCTGTATGAATTAGCTCTATCATATGTTGGCCTTCTTGTTTTGATGATGATTTACAAATAATTTACTACTAATGTTGTTTGTCTAGTGTTTGTGCATTCCTATGTATTGTAGACAAACAACGTTGTTGGAGGATGAATGGAATCGAGCCTTAACGATCATATCAAATGGAGGTTGGCGGAATTGTGGAGTGAAGCAACATACAATTCAAGTTAAAGATCAAGTTCAAGCTTCATCCGCAAAGTGTACCAAGTCAAGCTTATTGAAGATCAAGATCGGCTTGGGTAATCTAGTTTAGGTTTTATATTATGTATGTTAAGTACCTTAAGCTCAATATCATATACACACACGTATTTGGTTTCTATGTATATATATAGTTATATATATACATGCATGGTTTTGGGTTTTCATGTTTTGGACATACTTGCAAAATACATGAGTTTTCACAAATAGAAATTCAATTTGAGAAATTCTTTTTCTAACATATTTGTTTTCATGTTTATAAATATTTCGCAAAGTTTCATCAAGTTTGGAATTGATTTGTTATGTTTAATGGAATTTACAAAATCATGTTTTTCGTTCGTGCATGTTCGTGCATGTTTT